GAGAGGGGGGAGGGTCAGAGGGAGAAGCAGACTCCCTGCCGAGCAGGGAGCCCGATGCGGGACTCGATCCAGGGACTCCAGGATCACGACCTGAGCCGAAGGCAGTCGCTCAACCAACTGAGCCACCCAGGCGCCCTCATCAATTTTTGAGTACCTTACTTTATGGAACAGTGAGATAGATGTTCTGGGTTCATCTTATGCTTTCCCTGCCCCAGCCACAGAATCTTCTTTAGTGCTGGGTAGATGTAGAAACCAAGATCTGGGGGTGCCTGGGTGGCTCAGTTGGTTAAGCATCCCACTCTTGGCTGGCATCATGGTATCAGGGTTGCGAGATCGAGCCCCGCATCAGGCTCTGCACTCAGCACGGAGTCTGCCTCGGATTCTCTCTTTGTGTGTAGAATAAATAAATAAATCCTTTAAAAAAAAAGAAAGAAAGAAAGAAAAGAAACCAAGACCTGAGTGCAGTGTACTCATTTCTATTGGGGTATCATTTGCTGCTGGTGTTATTGTCCCTTCCACGGGCAGAGCTGAGAAATACATGTATGTATATATATGCACACATAATAAATTTGGGATTATTTGACTATTATTTCTTTTTGGAATATAAATGTCCAACATCTGGCCCTTGGGCCCAAGTAGACCGTCCTAACTTTTTTAAGCTGTGTTCAATCTTAGATACTTAAATTCTTCCCCAAACCTACTGTGCATCCCAAAAATGATTTCATATCTGAGACCCATGAATTGAGACAGGAAGGCCCAAGAAGTTATCTGTCCTTGGGTGTGTATACCTGCGTGCAGCCCGTGGCTAATCAGCAAACTCAGCAATCACTGAAGCTTCTGGTTCTGACACATCATAACATTTCTGACAAAGGGAAATAGGAATAGCATGAGTTCCCATGTTCCCTTGACTCGTGGTTGTCATGTCCTGTACTCTTACAGCAAGTTGAAAATTTGTTCTCATCCAGTCCATACACACATGGATTTCTACTTATAAAAACATCATTGAAAAGCCATAGACATACTAACCCTGCACTTGAGCTATTCGCCAAATGATTTGTTCCCCTGTAACCACAGTGCCTGGCACTTGTTAGGCAGTCACTGAATAGATAGGTCAGTTATTTTCCTAACTGTTGATACTGATCTAGTGGGGAGTATTTTTTTCCCCTTTTGGCTAGGTATATTCACTTCCTTGGAAAAATGACAAATGATCTATTTCTGCTCTGTTGAGGGTTTTTTTTTTTTTTCCGCTAACTGCCAGCAAGTGTACATGTTAACATGTTGTTTTACGTGTTTTCTTAAGCTCAGTTTTACCTTCAGTGATAGGAGTTCACAAATTGAGTTGGTGCTTAAGAAAGGGCTCTACTAGGCAGAAGTGTGAGTTTTGAGATCTAGAGACTTGCCTAGTATTGCTGGAAGCCTGGTAGGTGTTCTGTTTCTGTGCGCACTGAAATCATTCACTCTGGCTGCTGTAAATTATGTATTGTGATGCAGGAATAAAGATGGACGCTGTAAAACTGAAATAGGAAGTGAGAAAGATGGCAGGAAGAGGAAAACCACTCTGTGTGTCTTCATTTTTCAGGTTCTCTCAAGTAGTGCTGCCAGTGGTACGATCCCAACACTGTCACCCGGAGGGGCACTCATGCAGGGGGGCGCTCAGCAAGCCGTAAACCGTACGTGCGGGGCCACTTTCTCACTTACGTAAGCTCTAAAGAGCGAGTTGGGAGCAATGCTAAAGTAATTAGGTTGGTTTTTCTCTGGAGCATTTCTGGAACTTCTGTTTTTATGCACATAGATCCTGAGATCTGTTTAGACAAGAGCTTAGATTTCATAATTATCTTAATATTACAAACAGTAGTACATTGTTAGTCTCCCTATATCATACTAAAATACTTAGTTTTTTACTTTCTTTTTTACTTTCCGACCTCTTAGAATAAAGGGAAACCTGAAAATTGCTCCAGAATCTCAGGGAATTAAAATTTAAATTAAGATCTGTTAGTCACAAAATCATTAACCTATCTCAGGATAGCACATCCTGGTTTGGCATTGGCCAAGTACACATGTTCAGATTTATTCTGTGGTTGTTCTTTCAGAGATTGTACATATGTGAAAATTAACTCATCCAGTTCTTTCTTCTGCAGAGATGGTGCCAAATGATATTCAGTCTGAATTGAAACATCTTTATGTGGCTGTTGGGGAACTTCTACGGCACTTCTGGTCCTGCTTTCCTGTTAATACGCCATTCCTAGAAGAAAAGGTCAGAGTTGATTCCAAACACAGCCAGCTCTGTGGTAGTGTGACTTTGAACTGTTATTTTGAAATTAGAAAATTGTATTGAGTGTTTACCGTGTGCTAAACACTCGGATATCTCCTTGCATACATTAATTTAAGCCTACAGCATCTTTTTTTTTTTTTTAAGATTTTTTATTTTTTATTTATTTGAGAGAGAGAGCATGAGAGGGGGTAGGGTCACAGGGAGAAGCAGACTCCTTGCCAAGCAGGGTCCCCATATGGGACTTGATCCCAGGACTCCAGGATCATGACCTGAGCCAAAGGCAGTCGCTTAACCAACTGAGCCACCCAGGCGCCCAAGCCTACAGCATCTTAATGGAGTAGATATTGAAACTCATTTTATAGATGAAGAAACTTGAAATCCAGACCAGTGCTATAACTTATGAGTGTACATCTTAAAACTTGTGTCTAGGTGTAAGCCACTAGGAGCAATTAAAAACAGAGACCCAAAAAAATTACATCAGTAAAATTATTTGGTATATTTTTTAGAGGTAATGAAATTCAAACTGAGATTGACAACAAATATAGCACTAGCTGTTTAATAACACTAAAACCTTTTTAACCAATTAAAGGAGAGTTGACAAATGGGAAAATATAGTATTGATAATAATAGTTTAAGTATATAGATTGCTCTTTTAAACAACCCTTAAGAGAAAAGGTTAAATACCCCATTAAAAATAATAGACAAGAGACTTTTAACAGGCACCTCACTAAAAAATGAAGCTGGCTCAGTAAACCTAAGGAAATTTTCATACACACTAGTATTCAAATAAATTATCTTTAAAACTACAGTGAAAGAGTATTTTTTAAATCTGTGGTTTTTAAAAGAACAGAAAATTTAAAATTATCAGTGGTGACCGGGTTGCTAAGAGTCCTTTCTTCCACTACTCTTACTACCTTTTTAAAAAATGCTTTGACCCAGAAATTCAATGTTTAGGAATTTAACCTAAGGAAATAATTAAGAATATTTAGCAATAGAGATGTTCCTCTACCACTGTCTCTGAAAGAAAATGTGGAAGTGGCCTGTCTACCAGAAGAGGTTTAATTAAAAAGCATTTGCGGGGCACCTGGGTGGCTCAGTCGCTAAGCGTCTGCCTTGGGCTCAGGTCATGGTCCCAGGGTCCTGGGATCGAGCCCCGCGTCGGGTTCCCTGCTCAGTGGGAAGCCTGCTTCTCCCTCTCCCACTCCCCCTGCTTGTGTTCCTGCTCTCGCTATCTCTGTCAAATAAATAAATAAAAATCTTAAAAAAAAAAAAAAAAACATTTGCTGTGCATACATTGAAATCAGTGCATACATTGAAATACAGTGCATCCATTTTTAAATGACGACTTATGCAAGTATTTAATGACTGAAAGATGTTCACGTTAAGTGAAATTTTAAAACCGTATAATAAATGCGTTTATACACATACACAAAAAATATTGAGAGGGATATGAATTATGAACCAAAGTGCTCCTGAATCACTGAGTGGTGGTAGATCTTGCTTCTCTGCCTGAAGCCAATTAATCTAGTAAAAAAAAGAAGTAACCTTCCTGTGTGTGTTTTTCTCTTGCTCCCTGTAGGTTCTTTGGAATTTCTCTGTAATTTATTATTTCTATCATTTTTTGTAGGTAGTAAAAATGAAAAGTAATTTGGAACGATTTCAAGTTACGAAGCTCTGCCCATTCCAAGAAAAAATCCGGAGACAGTATTTAAGCACAAATGTAAGGCAACAATGTGACTTTGGCCTGATTTTCTTTCTCTGTGTTGCAAAAGGATGAAATTAACTTTGTTTTCATGTGAATGAGTAGATACATTTGGGGGATTTATTTTTTTTCTGTTGCTCAGAGTATAATTTTCTTTGAGGTTTTTTGTTTGGGGTTTTTTTGTTTTGTTTTGGGTGGGGGTTTTTTTGTTTTGTTTTTTTGGGGGTTTTTTTGGTAATCTGTGCACCGAGTGTGGAGTTCTCACTCATGACCCGAGATCAAGAGTGGCATGCTCTTCCAACTAAGCCAGCCAGGTGCCCCTCAGAGTACTATTTTTTAAATGCAAAATGTACCATACGTTCAGAAGAGTGTATAAAATACCTAACACTTTTTAAAACAATAAAACAAGTACTTACCCACGAATCATCATAAGAAATGGAACAAAACCAGGACCCATAAGTATTCCCTATCAAGTTGCCTATCCCTCCTTCGCACTCTTCAAGGCCACAACTAACCCCAGCATTTATAATAATCAACTCCATGGGGTTGGTTGGTTTGTTCACTTAAAACACTGTCTCCATGGTGGGGCCATGGAACTCAACCCCACATCAAGAGTTGCATGCTCTACCAACTGAGCCAGCCAGGTGCCCCAATCATCTCCACACTTTATTTTATAGATTTAGAACCTATGTGTATGTTCCTAAAAAATTACTATTTTGAAAACCTGAGGAGCAAGCACAAACCTAACCCTGCAAAGAAAGGCAGAATTGCTCCTCTGTAACAGTAAACCTTATGGTTGCTGCCTAATGGTCTGCCTTCAGCTTCCCTGATTGCTTATAGCAGGGCAGGGCTGTAGGTGAGGTAGTGAGTGAAAAGTGTCACTTTGTGCCCAGGATTTTTAACATTGTTTTTAATGCAAGGCTAGAGCAACCACTTGATATTGAGATCATTTTTTATATGTTATGCAGTCCTCTCTGAGATGACAGGGAAGGAAGAGTATATACAAATTTAGGATTTAGTATTTCAATAAGTAGATTACTCAAAAGGGGGAGTTCTACAATTGAAAGCTGAAAATTCTTCACCAGTGAGGTTTTTGGTGTTTATTCCCCTAATGTTCCAAGTGGTCTTTCTCAAAATATAACAGTAATACTTAACAATCAGGAAAGAAGCTTGAAATACCTTCCTACGTGAGAGCAAGGACAACACATAGGTTTCAGTTCATGTGCCTTCTTGATTGTAACTGCCTGGAGCACTGTGGTAAAATGGATTCTGAGGCCATGTGCATGCATTACCTCAAAGATGTTGCAGGTTTGGCTCCAGATCACTGCAATAAAGTGATTCAAATGAATTTTTCTGTTTCCCAGTGCATGTAAAAGTTAGATTTATACTCTCCTATAGTCTGTTAAGTGTGCAGTAACATTACAGCTTAAAAAACATTGTATATCTTTTTTTTTTTTAAGATTATTTATTTATTTGAGAGAGCGTGAAAGGGAGCACAAGCAGGGAGGAGAGGGAGAAGCAGGGAGCCCCATGCGGGGCTTGATCCCAGGACCCCGAGATCACAACCTGAGCCGAAGGCAGACACACAACCGACTGAGTCACTCTTCTACATCCCTTAATTAGAAAATACTTTATGGTTAAAATTGCTATCCACCTGAGTTTTCAGAGAGTCATAATCTTTTGCTGGTGAAGGGTCTTACCTCTGTGTTGGTGGCTGCTGAAGGTTGGGGTGGCTGTGGCAATTTCTTAAAATAAGACAACAGTGAAGTTTGCTGCATCAATTGACTATTCCTTTCATGAACAATTTCTCTGTGGCATGCAATGCTGTGTGTTAGTATTTCATCCATATTAGGACTTCTTCAGAGTCAGTCCTCTTAAACCCTGCTGCTGCTTTACCAACTAAGCTTATGTAATATTCTAAATGCCCTGTTGTCATTTCTCAGCAGTCTTCACAGCATCTTCACCAGGAGTAGATTCCATCTCAAGAAACTACTTTCTTTGCTCAGCCCTGAGAAACAACTCATCCCTTCAAGTTTTATTATGAGATGGCAGCCATTCAGTCACACGTTCAGGCTCCACTTCTCATTCTAGTTCTCTTGCTTTTTCCACCACCCTGCCGTTACTTCCTCCACTGAAGTCTTGAACCATTCAAAATTAACCATGAGGGTTGGAATCAGCTTCTTCCAAATTCTGTTAATGTTGATATTTTGACCTCTTCCAATGAATCACGAATATGCTTAATGGCACCTAGAATGGTGAATCCTTTCCAGAAGGTTTTCATTTTACTTTGCCTAGATCCCTCAGAGGAATCCCTATCTATGGCATTTGTAGCCTTAGGAGATTGTATTTCTTAAATAATAAGACTTAGAAGTCAAAATTACTCCTTAACTCATGGGCTACAGAATGAATGTTGGGTTAACAGGCATGAAGACAATATTCATCTTGTACATCTCCATCAGAGCTCTTGGGTGACCAGGTGCATTGTCAGTGAGCAGTAATATTTTGAAAGGAATCTTTCTGAGTAGGTCTCAATAGTGGGCTTAATATTCACTAAACCATGTTATAAACAGATGTGCTATTTCATCCAGGTTTTGTTCCATTTATAGAGCACAGATGGAAGAGATTTAGCATAATTCTTAACAGCCGTAGGATAATTGAATGGTGAGCATTGGCTAAAACTTAAAGTCACCAACTGCATTAGCTCCTAATAAAGGAATCAGCCTGTCCTTTGAAGTTTTGAAGCCTAGCATTGACTTCTCTCTAGCTATGAAAGTCCTAGATGGCATCTTCCAGTAGAAGGCTGTTTTGTCTATATTGAAAAGCTGTTGGTTAGTGTAGCTACTGCCTTCATTAATTAACTTAGCTAGATCTTCCGGATAACTCGCCACACCTTATACATCAGCACTTGCTGCTTCACCTTGCACTTTTCTATTATGGACACTGCTTCTTTCCTTAAACCTCGTGACTCAACTTCTGCTGGCTTCGGACTTTTCTTCTGCAGCTTCTTCACTTCTCTCAGCCTTCATAGAACTGAAGAGAGTTAGGGCCTTCCTCTACATTAGTCTTTGGCTAAAGGGAATGTTGTGGCTGATGTGGGCTTCTATCCAGACCACTAAAACTTCCTATCAGCAATAAGGCTGTTTTGCTTTCTTAACCATTCATTCATATGTTCACTGGAATAACAGTTTTTTTCAAGAACTTTTCCTTTGCATTCACAACTTGGCTAACTGGCACAGGGAAGCTTAGCTTTCAGCCTCAGCTTTCAACACACCTTCCTCGCTAAGCTTCATCATGTCTAGCTTTTGATTTAAAGTGTGAGATGTGTGACTCTTCCTTTCACTTGGACACTTAAAGGCCATTGTAGGGTTATTGGCCTAGTTTCAATATTGTGTGTCAGGAAATGGGGAATCCTGAGGAGAGGGAGAGATGGGGGAAACAGCCAGTTAGTGGAGCAGTCAGAACACAGTTATCGATTAAGTTCACCGTCTTACAGGCATGATTTGTGGTGCCCCAGAGCAATGGCAGAAACATCAAAGTCACACTGGTTACAGGTGACCATAACAATATAATAATGAAAAAGTTTAAAATGTTGCGAGAATTACCAAAATGTGACACAGAATGAGCAAATGCTGCTGAGAAAATGGCACTGATAGACTTGATCAGTGCAGTGTTGTCACAAACCTTCAGTTTGTAAAAAAAAATACACTGAAAAGCACGATAAAATGTTGCATAATAAAACAAGGTATTCCTGTACCACCTGACACAAGGATACGGCATTCATCTCTTCTAATTGGCACTATGGAACCACTGTGCCCATCAAGCAAAATAAATGATTTTTATATACTTTCCAGACAGAACTAAATAACATAATACCCCATCCCCCAATAATGATAACAGATGGGGTAAATAAGAGTGTTTTGTTTTTTTAATTCTATCTCAGGCTGGATCTAAGACATTGACATGCTAAAAGGATTTAGGACTTTCTGTCCCTAACCACATACTGCCAGAACTGACTTGCAGACTTTATAAGACTGTACTTCAACCACATAAACACTGTCCATCTCCGAAGAAACATACTCTGAAGACATTCTCCTTTAGGAGTCATTAGCAACTTAGATAATTGTGTTCCTGTTGACTGCTAGTTATATCCATGACAAGAGTAAAATCCTTTGCTACTCAAGATATGTAGTCCTTACCTGGGGCGCCTGGGTGGCTCAGTTGGTTAAGCGACTGCCTTCGGCTCAGGTCATGATCCTGGAGTCCCGGGATCGAGTCCCGCATCGGGCTCCCTGCTCGGCAGGGAGTCTGCTTCTCCCTCTGACCCTCCCCCCTCTCATGTGCTCTCTCTCATTCTCTCTCTCTCAAATAAATAAATAAAATCTTTAAAAAAAAAAAAAGATATGTAGTCCTTACCTAAGGTATAACATAGTACTTATGTGAAGCATTAACACCATTTAGATTTTCTTTAATCTACTGAGTTAAATTGAAATTCCATAACATTGGAGCTGGAAAACTCCATTAAAAACTTAGGAAACTGCTAAATAAAATCTTTTAAAAAGGGGGGGGAGGCGCCTGGGTGGCTCAGTCGTTAAGTGTCTGCCTTCGGCTCAGGTCATGAACCCGGGGTCCTGGGATTGAGCCCCACATCAGGCTCCCTGCTCAGCAGGAAGCCTGCTTCTCCCTCTCCCACTCCCCCTGCTTGTGTTCCATCTCTTGCTGTGTCTCTCTGTCAAATAAATAAATTTAAAAAATAATAAAATAAAATAAAAATTTAGGAAAGTGCTTCACAAGATTGGCTATGCAGCAGAATTAGCTACAGGAGCTTTTGAACATTAGAGATTCCAGATCTCATCCCAGACCTGCTACATCAGAATCTTCAGGAGAGTAAGGCATTTTTTCACAAGCTCTATAAAATGTTAATGCCACCATACTGGCCTTAGTTGACAGACTAATGTTTAAATCTAGAAATCATCAGTTTAGTACACCTCCTTCGTTTGACAGAAGAAACTGAGGCCTAGAGCCCAATTTCAACTTCCATGTTGTCCTGTTGCTGGTTAATGACAGGGAAGACACTCCAACCCAGACAGAGCAGGCGAATTTCCAGCCGCTGTCCCACCATCTCTTACCTTTTATACAAATTGTGTCTGAAAATACCTTCACAGAGGGTTTACAGGTTGCCTCACGGGGGTAATACAACTGAGCTTGGAAACTGCACTCTGGAAACTGCACTCTGAAGTATGTGCCAGATCTGGATCAGAAGCATTAGCTTCCCCAGCCTTTGCCCAGTTATTGCTTAAGTGTCTGGCTCTGTTTTTCAGTTGGTAAGTCACATTGAAGAGATGCTGCAGACGGCCTACAACAAGCTCCACAAGTGGCAGTCGCGGCGTCTGATGAAGAAAACGTGAAGTATCTGTGGCTCTCGCAGGCTCTGTGAAATTAAGAGAACTGTGACCTGCAGTGACTCTGGAAACCTGGCCTGAGACATGCCAATGATCACCCAGAAGTGACAAACATCTGCCCCATGCCAGCTCTTGGAGCTGGTGCTGTTGTACTTGCACATTGTGAACTGAAAGGAAAGGAACTGTGACTAAACTCAAAGCTGGGGAGGTAAATTAAGGCAGAACCAAAATGAGCTAAGTTGCAGGTATATATATATATATGTATACGTGTATATACACATATATACATATACACATATATATTTTAAAGAGACACTGTTTACTGCAGTTACTCAGGAACTGCTTTTGATTCACATTAAGCTGCTTTCAGAAATTAAAAAAAAAAACTTTTTAAAAGGGTGCATTGATAAAATCTGAGGTTTTTGTTTTTTCTTTGTAAATTTTTTTCCTAAGTTTATGGCACAGGGTACACCTTAAGTATTTCTCCTCCATCCTCCACTTGGATCCTCAAGCTGTACTGAATTCTAGTTGTACCTTACATCAGCAAGTTAAGAGAGTACTTTAAAGTAAAGCAGAAGGAGACTGTTGCTCAACCATCAGGAAACAGTTATAGTCAGAAGACATCATTGGTCCTGTGTTTCCTACGGAAATAAGAAACAATAAATGTTGCACTGAATGTTTGTGGTTTGGAGTCCCTAAAAGATTAAGAGGGAACATACTTGCAGAAAGTTGCGTGGGGTTTTTTTATGCAGAATTTTGTCAGAAGACAATGGCGCTGCATGTTTTTCTTTGAGTGCAAATGTACATTGCTAAGATTTTTTTTTTTAAGATGGCATGTGCTTTGAAAAGAGGAAATTGCATTTTTAAGAGTTTAAAAAATCTTACGAGTGAAAAATATAAGAAATCTTACTTATTTTCACCTCTTTAGAAAAAAATAAAAGATGTTTCTCATATCTCCTTTTCTCCAGTATCTGACTGTTATTGTCCTTGGCGAATCGATAATCATTGCATAGTGACTGAAAAGCCTAAATGCAAAAAAAAAAAAAAAAAAAGTACTTTCTTGTTTCTGGAATTATGCCATATTTTGTTCCTAACAGGATCAAATTTACTGTTTATCTAAAACTTTATAGATGTCTTATATTAAAAATTACAGAAAAAAGTAAAACTTTTTATACATACTCTTTTAACTGTTAAGACATCTTGTGGTTTCTCATGTGTTATATTTACTTGGGTGGGCCACTCATTCTTTTTTAAAGCCATTGTACAAGCTGGTTGTCGTTCCTTTTTTTCTTCTTAAAATTTTTTTATTGAAGTATAGTTGACATACAATGTTATCTGCGTTTCAGGTATACAACATAGTGATTCAGCAGCTCTACATGTTATGCTGTATGTTCACAAGTGTAGCTACCATCTATCACCATTTATTACAGTACCATTGACCATATTGCATATGCTATACCTTCCATCCTTGTGACTGATTGATTGCATAACTGAAAACCCTGATCATCTTTCTTTTTTTTTTTATTTTTTTTTTAAAGATTTTATTTATTTATTTGAGAGAGAGAGCACATGAGAGGGGGGAGGGTCAGAGGGAGAAGCAGGCTCCCCACCGAGCAGGGAGCCCGATGCGGGACTCGATCCGGGGACTCCAGGATCGTGACCTGAGCTGAAGGCAGTCGCTTAACCAACTGAGCCACCCAGGCGCCCCCTGATCATCTTTCATATAATGGCTACAACAGGCCAAAACTTTGAACTGGTAAAAAGAAAAGGGGCTTCAGTCTTCCCATTTCTCCTTTAGATCAGTAGAGGAATAGTGTAATCTCTTACACCTTACTGTTGTACAAAGTGCTCTTCAAGTGTCTTATCCTACAGCTACTCTAAGCAGTAGCAATGGAGTAGGTAGAAGAGTATGTCTGTTGGGAAAGGCAGGTGTAAACAAGTGCTCTGTTAAAGATTAAGTGATCAGTGTAATGGAGACTGAAGAAAGAAATCATTTTGGGGAACTGGGTAGGCTTTACTAAAGAGGTAATATTTTAGCTAAGCCTTGCAGGTTGAAGAGGGAAAAGCATGATGAAGGTGCGAGGGCTGGGAAAAAGACCCCAGTGTGTTAGATTAGAGGGTTGGGAATGACAAGTAAATGACTGAGAAAATCAGTGTAATTCAGGTTGTGAATGGCTTTGTATGCCAAGGTAAGAAATTGAGACCTTACCCTTTAAGCATGGGTTATGTCAGAGAAAATTTTGAGGAAGTTGTTTTTATGAGGGTTGGTTGGTTGGTTGTTTTTGATAAAAAGTCTGGCAGTTAGGAAGGCCAAACCCCTAAAAGGCTTTTGGAACAATCCAGACTGGAAACTAGGTCCAAATTAAAGTGGAGTTCTGGTAAATAGGAGGGGATGAGTAAAGATATTCTTAAGATATGTGACCAAGTCTCACAGGACTATCTAACTTCATTCTCACAATAACCAGTGAAGTGGGTAGGTTCAACAGATAATTTTACAAATTAGAAATGGTTTAGATGTTAAGTGATTTACCCAGATTCACATAGCCAGTAAGTGGCAGAGCTGGGATTTACCCCAAACTGCTAAGCTTTGCAGTCCCTTAGGGTAAGATCCTTGTGAAGTTGGAAGCTTTTATTCCCCAACTCGCGCCTCCATTGGCTAGTTTTTTTTTGTTTTTTTTTTTAAGATTTTATTTGTTTATATGAGAGATTGAGATAGAGAAAGAACAAACACAAGTAGGCAGAGGGGCAGAGGGAGAGAGAGAAGCAGACTCATTGCTGAGCAGGGAGCCTGATGCGATCGGTTCCGGAATCATGACCTGAGCGGAAGGCAGATGCTTAACTGACAGCCACCCAGGCGCCCCAGCTAGTTTCTCTTGTGACTGCCCTTTTATTCCTATCTCTGATTCTATTCTGTGTTGCTTTTATATCAAATCACAGTATAGAGTTAGTCTGACTAATGGGTCCCATTAGCCTAGAGGGCTGCAGAATGTAATAATGAAAGCACATCCTAGGGGCGCCTGGGTGGTTCAATCGTTAAGCCTCTGCCTTTGGCATGGGTCATGATCCCAGGGTCCTGGGATCAAACCACACATCGGGCTCCCTCCTCGGGCGGGAAGCCTGCTTCTCCCTCTCCCACTCCCCCTGCTTGTGTTCCCTCTCTTGCTGTGTCTCTCTCTGCCAAGTAAAATCTTAATTTAAAAGAAAAAAAAAAAAAAACGCTCATCCTGTCTTAGGAGAATGAGTTTCTCGTGGAAAGAAGCAGAAAGTAGTGCTAGTCTGCTTTGGACTTAAACACTACAAAATGAATAGCTATGTTGTGATGCCCACTTCAGTTTGGAAAACTAAAGAATGCTCTTACATCTGTACTAGCAATAGAAATGTAGCCTACTCCTCTGGGGGTGGGGAGGGAGTTTAATCCAGAAAGTGATTTCCAGTCAGTATATATACCATCTGGAGCCAGCAGTGGCCCTGGGATGGAAAGCTGCCTGTTTTAAACTTAGATTTGCTGTTTCCAGTGTCAAGACTTGCACAGGATTCCTCAGTGTGTTACCTCTGCCCTTTCCCAGTTTAGCTTCTTGAAGACTCAGCTGTTCTCCCAGTTCCTGAGGCCAAGGGAATCTTCGTTATTTTTAGCTCTTAAACTGTCCAGAGTTGGGGCATTGCCTAGAACCTGGCTCAGGGGTGCTCAGCCTCAGTTTGCAGTCTGTGTTCTTGCTTGGGGATATTAAAGTCACTGAAAAGACTTTAGAATTCCAGCTTTGAAACCAAAGGATCCTGTTTCCATCGTCTTTCATAGAGTTCCTAATACACGCGACAAACGTGGAATTGCACCTGTTGAGGTAGAGCCTCAGATCCAGCTCCTCTCACTGCCCCCCCAATAATCCACTAAGTACAACCTGAGAAACACTCTCTCTGGCCACCTAGCAACTTGCTTTGTTTATTGGGATGACTGATACTAGAAATGGACTGAAGTTGAAGATAAATCCTGGCTTAAATTTAAATATCACTCTTCTGGGGCCCCTGGGTGGCTCAGTTGGTTAAGCGACTGCCTTCGGCTCAGGTCATGGTC